TTTAGTCCTGGTTTAGTCCTGGTTTAGTCCTGGTTTAGTCCTGGTCCTGGTGGTTTAGTCTGGTTTAGTAGTCTGGTTTTAGTCCTGGTTTAGTTAGTCCTGGTTTAGTCCTGGTTTAGTTCTGGTTTAGTCCTGGTTTAGACCTGGTTTAGTCCTGTTTAGTTTAGTTCTGGTTTAGTCCTGGTTTAGTTCTGATTTAGTTTTAGACCTGGTTTAGACCTGGTTTTAGTCCTGGTTTAGTCCTGGTTTAGTCCTGGTTTAGTCCTGGTTTAGTCCTGGTTTAGTCCTGGTTTAGTTCTGATTTAGTCTGGTTTAGTCCTGGTTTAGTCCTGGTTTAGACCTGGTTTAGTCCTGGTTTAGTCCTGGTTTAGTCCTTGTGGGGAAGCTGGTCAAAATGAGAGTCCAGTGCAAAGTCGTCCTTCACCAAACCAAATTCTTTATTGGATCCTTCAAAGTCGTGGGCAAAATTCTATACATATTTACAAAAAAGAACTGTGCTTAACTAAACAAAAGCAACAGAAAAATAACACAACAAAAGAAAATACCCACAGGCACCTGGCTGCACTGATTAAACTGCCTCTACTTATATACCCCCCAGAGAGGAAGCCCCTCCCCCTGGGTTCACACCAACTTACGGGGAAAACTGTAGCAGTTTCCTTTCTTTACTGGTGCTGCCTTAAATTATCTTCTGAAGCCTAATCCCCCTTTTAAACTGAACAGTGTCCAACTTAACTAGAAACACTGAAAAACCAAATCCTAATAACCCATTTGATAAAACAAAGAACCATTTCCGAGGCTTCCCTCCACATGGTCTGGGCCAACACCTCCCCCTGAGCCTAGAAATATGGCTGCCAAAGGACACGCCCCCTCTGTTGTTCCCAGACCATGTGGAGTCACAGGTGAAGGTGGTAAGTTTAAACAAAATGAAGGGATATAAGTAGTGATGGGCAGATGAAGCTTCATGAAGCATTGAAGCCTTTCATCCAGTTGCTTCACTCTGGTGCAAAGCTTCCTGAAGCTTCTTTTGCTCTAGCAGGACGTCTACTGGACGCAAAAAATATCAGTTGACATGAATTTGAAGTGTGTTGCATTTTGCAGAAAGCCTGTGAATAAAACTGTCAGAAAGTAAAGAAGTATGCAAAACATGTATATTGTAGTGATGTATACTGTGTGTGTATATATATATAAATATATATAAATATAAATACTTTTATATATATATACTGGCAGTATGGAAAATTATTATTTGGAAATTATGAAAAAGCTAATGATCATTTCCAGTGAGGTGAGGGGGGTTGGGGTTGGAGTTTGGACAGTGATTGTGCTTTTGTAACGTTGGGTGATTATGGTTCAGGGGACACATCATTGGTTTTTATTTAAAAACAACAGTTTCTCCACTGTGGCAGGTCTCAGGCCATTTCTTTTTTTTGACAATATTTCTCCTGCTTTTGAAAACACCGGCTCACAGGGCACAGATGAGGCAGGCGGACACAAGAATGCCACTGCTAATTTATATAAATGGGGATAGACATATTTCTGTCTCTCCAGTATTGAAGGGGGTCCTCCAGCTCTCCAATATTTGGCTCCATCATCATGCACCGTTGCACCTCAATATGTGCGTCTGCTATTACATTTGTGTTTGTGTCTGTCTGACTCTGTCATCCAGGTGACACCACAGGTCGTTACCTAAGAAATAAGAATTGTTGTTTTTTGTGAGTTTTAAACTGTCTCCAAACTTCCAAACTCTCACTGATCGCAACTCTCCATCAAACACCCACATTTTGAATGAAGACTGAGCGGTTTATGTCGCTGTCAAAACTCGCGGCAAAACCCGAACCACTTCCTGAATCAGTCACGTGGTGCAGCCGGGCAGCGAGGCTTCGGACGTCATCACTTTCAGCTCCTCCCCTAAATGAATCAAGCCTCGATAAGCGCTTCGCGGAAACGCCCCCTCCTCTACTCGACACACGCCTCGAAGACTCGACACTGAACGTCACATCACTAGATATAACCAAATAAAATGAATTTAAAGTAACTGTGTGAATGTGATCAATTAAACAAAGACTAAATAAAACAAACCCGGGATAGTTTTTATTTAACTGTTTAGTTGATATATAGATGTAACTGAACTAAGGTGAAAAATGGGGGACAAAGGCCGTCTTTGTCACAGTCCTGATTTAGTACTGGTTTAGTACTGGTTTAGTTCTGTTTAGTCTAGTTTAGTTTAGTCTGGTTTAGTCCTGGTTTAGTCCTGTTTAGTCCTGGTTTAGTCCTGGTTTAGTCCTGGTTTAGACCTGTTTTAGTCCTGGTTTAGTCCTGGTTTATGGAGATCACATTGCGTTGTCTAGAATGTTCCACAGTGTGGCATTAAACTCCTGTTTCCATGGCGACGGGATCAGACCTGCTGCCGTTTTTTTTTGTCCAGATAAAACGTCACTGTGGGACATTTTGAGCAAAGCAGTGACATCACCGTGGAGACGAGAGGGGCCAGGAAAGTCCCGCAGTGCAGCTTTAAGACTTTTTTTTGTCCCTTTTTTGTCGTGTTTCAGTGCAGTGATTCGAGTCAGTTTTTTTTTTTTTTTTTTTTTTTGTGGCGTTGTGTTTCTCTCCGTCTCCGTCGTCTTTCGTCCGTCCGTCCCGGAGCTGTTGGCGCGGCAGGGCATCTGGGCTAATCTCGCCGCACGCTCTCCAGCATTTCCTGTTTTTAATTCCGCAAGCGCGCGCGTCGCTTCCCGTCCGCGGGCCCGACTTCCCGCGGGCACTTCCCCCGGCTCGTCTCCTCGTGTCACTTTAACAAACAGAAAAGATAAACAAAGGAAACGCGAGACAAAAGACAAAAAAAAAAAAAACTGAACGGAGGATGGATGAGGACCATGTGGACACAATTATTAATTTAAGACTTTTATAAAAACTCGTGAACAAAAAGATAAAATGTTTAAACACGATTAAAAA